TCAAACAAGCCATGGCATCTGAGAAGTGGCGTAATTCTGTGAGGTTGGAGTTTGATGCTCTTGAGCAAAATAGAACTTGGGATGTTGTTTCTCTTCCTCCGGGAAAGAATGTTGTAGGCTGTAAGTGGGTACACACTATGAAGTATAATGCTGATGGTACTGAAGAAAGAGCCAAATCTCGTTTGGTTGCTCAGGGTTACACACAGCAAGAGGGGCTGGATTATATGGATACATTTTCTCCGGTTGCAAAGATGACCAGTGTCAAGTTATTATTAAGCTTGGCTGCAGTGAAGGGTTGGTCTTTGAATCAAATGGACGTATCCAATGCTTTTCTCCATGGTGACCTTGACGAGGAGATTTATATGAGCTTGCCTCAAGGATACACACCACCTCCGGGTACTTCCTTGCCTTTGAATCCTGTTTGTCGACTACTGAAGTCTCTTTATGGCTTGAAACAGGCGTCTAGACAGTGGTATAAGCGTTTCTCCTCGGTCCTTCTTGGAGCTAATTTTGTTCAATCTCCGGCTGATAACACTTTGTTTATCAAGTCTACACAAGCTTCCTTTGTTGCTGTTCTTGTCTATGTGGATGATCTATTGATTGCCAGTAATGACAGTGAAGCTCTGCTCAGTCTTCAGCAGTTACTTCATTCTGAGTTTAAGATCAAGGATTTGGGTAATGCTCATTTCTTTCTTGGTTTGGAGATTGCTCGCTCTGCAAAAGGGATCAATGTTTGTCAACGCAAGTACACCTTGAATTTGCTGGAAGATTCCGGTTTGTTAGGATGCAAGCCAAGTACAGTTCCTATGGATCCTACTCTGCATCTATCAAAGGATTCTGGTACTCCGTTATCTAATCCAACAGTGTATAGAGAGCTTATTGGCCGTTTGCTCTATCTTACCATTACACGGGTTGATATAACGTTTGCTGTTCATCAATTGAGCCAGTTCTTATCAGCTCCTACTGATATACACTTACAGGCTGCTCATAAGGTGTTACGTTACTTGAAGAATGATCCAGCTCTGGGTCTGTTTTATTCTGCAACTTCAGAGCTCTGTCTCAACGTTTTTGCAGATGCTGACTGGGCTACTTGTAAAGATTCCAGACGGTCTATCACTGGATTTTGTGCCTTTTTAGGCACGTCATTGATCTCTTGGAAATCAAAGAAGCAGTCTGTGGTTAGTCGTAGTAGCACAGAAGCTGAGTATCGGAGCTTAGCTTTGGCTACTTGTGAGATTATTTGGCTGCAACAGCTTCTTCGGGATCTTCATGTTACTGTGACTTCTGTGGCTAAGTTGTTTTGTGATAACAAATCAGCTATTCACATTGCCATGAATCCTGTGTTCCATGAGCGCACGAAGCACATTGACATTGACTGCCATACGGTGCGTGATCAGCTCAAAGCAGGACGTCTTCAAACTATTCATGTTTCTACTGTCAACCAGCTTGCGGATATCCTCACCAAAGCTCTTCATCCCGGACCTTACCATTCTCTCCTTTGCAGGTTTTCACTTTCAAGTCTTTATCTTCCATCTCATACAGCAGCTAAAGACTTGAGGGGGGCCTCTTAGGATAGATGGTTAGATACGGTTTAATACTGGTTTACTTAGATTCCCGGTTCATTTGTATATACCGACTAACTATATAAGCTCTATGAGCTGAATCTTGTAAAGTAAGTTTAATGTGAATAAGAAAACAGATTCCGTTATTCTAAACTCAAAATCTCTTCTCCATCTTCTTCATCATCGAGCTCGAATCTTCTTTNGGATAGATGGTTAGATACGGTTTAATACTGGTTTACTTAGATTCCCGGTTCATTTGTATATACCGACTAACTATATAAGCTCTATGAGCTGAATCTTGTAAAGTAAGTTTAATGTGAATAAGAAAACAGATTCCGTTATTCTAAACTCAAAATCTCTTCTCCATCTTCTTCATCATCGAGCTCGAATCTTCTTTAATATCGATTTTGACTAAATTCTAAAATCCAATATACTGGAAAGATTTTTTCCTTGTTGCGTCGGCCTAGATATTTATAGAGTTTTATTAGGTAAGTTTTATGGTAGAGTATTCGGAATGGCCATCACATGACATCTATCATATAATAATTTGGGAAGTCATAATCTATTTACCTTTCCAAATTATTCAAAATTCATATCACATTTTATTATCCATTACATTAAAGTTATATAAATCTATTTACACTTAAGATAAAAGTTTGAATTTTGTTTACGTATCAAATAAAAGTTGAAACTTTTTATCCACAAATTTTAGTTTATCGGTTTATCATCTAGTAATCGATATTTAACCAGATAAGATTTCTATTAAACGAAATTAATATCTGGTCCAATCAAATTTTACTAAATTCAATTTGAAACACAAATTCAACCTAATTCTACGGTACCGGCAGTCATGAACTTTTAACCACACTATTGGTCTATATGAGTTTCCACCAATTGGGCAATAGTTTTTTTGTTTGGAAAAGAAAAGGTTGGGCAAAGTTTATAATTTCTCAATGTTAAAAACGCAATACATGTCTACGTGTTGGTCTTTTACACATCAATAATAATGGGTTTGTGCTAAAAAATAATGGGCTTGTATGTGTAAACTCAACAACAGTAGTGGAATTTTATGTCTAAGCCCATACGCTTGTTGCATGCATAATTTTGATGCAACAACAATAATTGTTCCCAACAGTTAAATTAGGATAGAATATTAATTTGTATGTTGTTGTGGGTTTATATTAATTTATCTGATACATTGGTGATTGGTACGAGTGTAAAAATTTAAAGTGTTATGAATTTGTTAATAGAGGTTACTACTAAGTACTAACGTAGCACATGGGGCACTAATTAATTACAGTTGATCTGGTAAGAGAGAAAATAAAGTTTATGAACTTATGGTTTATTATGGCTTTGACTTTATCCTTTTTTCTTTACTTTAACTAACTACAAAAATTTTTTTTTTTATGGTAAATGGACCGACAAAAGTAGGAAAGCGATCCGTGATTTATGCAATGTTACTTATTTCACGTTTGTTGGGTAAAATGGGATATCAGTTTGGTTGATATTTTTATGAGAATTCGGCCAAAAAAAGACGAACTTTACACGAATTGCCAAAAGAAACCTGAACTTTTGGCATGACCAAAAAAACATAAACTTTTCATTGACTTTCGAATTAATTAACAAAGTTTTTGTTGACTTGCCAATTTGGCACGCCGTCAACAAATTTAACAGAAAAAATTAACGTTGTTAATTATTGCCGTTAGGATGAAACGACGTCGTTTTCAATTGAGATGAAACGACGTCGTTTTAAGCGATTTGAAAATAAAAAGCCGTAGACCACTGGACTCGAACCCGGGTTAATCGGATTACATTGCAAGGTAGTTTACCACTGGGCTAGTGGCGCATTCAATGTACCTACTAACACATTTACTTATATTTGGTACTTATTGAATATAAAAAAAATTCTATAAAAAATTTAACAAATCTTTAAAATTTCAAAAAATGAAAAAAATAAAGAGTTTTTTTTATAAAATTAATTTTGAAATTAAAATTAAAATAATTTTTTTTTCTTTAAAAAAATCAGACCGGAACTCTTAAAATTTTATTTTTCTTTCAATATATCTACTAACACATTTACTTATATTTGGTACTGATTGAATATAAAAAAAATTCTATAAAACTTTAAAAAATCTTTAAAATTTCAAAAAATGAAAAAATAAAGAGTTTTTTTATAAAATTAATTTTAAAATTAAAATTAAAATAATTTTTCTTTTCTTTAAAAAATCNTCTTAAAATTTTATTTTTCTTTCAATATATCTACTAACACATTTACTTATATTTGGTACTGATTGAATATAAAAAAAATTCTATAAAACTTTAAAAAATCTTTAAAATTTCAAAAAATGAAAAAATAAAGAGTTTTTTTATAAAATTAATTTTAAAATTAAAATTAAAATAATTTTTCTTTTCTTTAAAAAATCAAAAATCTTCCAAAATTTTAGTTTAAAGAAAAAAAAAATTATTTTAATTTTAAAATTAATTTTATAAAAAAACATCTTTATTTTTTCATTTTTTTTTGAAATTTTAAAGATTTTTTAATGTTTTTATAGATTTTTTATATTCAATTAGTACCAAATATAAGTAAATGTGTTTATAGATACATTAAAAGAAAAATAAAATTTTATAAGTTCCCGTCTGATTTTTTAAAGAAAAATAAAATTTTATTTTAATTTTAATTTCAAAGTTAATTTTATAAAAAAATTCTTTATTTTTCATTTGTTTTGAAATTTTAAAGATTTTTAAAGTTTTTATAGAATTTTTTTAATATTCAGTCAGTACCAAATATAACTAAATGTGTTAGTAGATACATTGAATGTGCCACTAGCCTAGTGGTAAACGACCTTGCCACTTAATCCAATCAACCCGGGTTTGAATCCAGTGGTCTACATTTTTTAATATCAAATAACTTAAAACGACGTCGTTTCATCCTAACGGCAACAATTAACGTCCGACTTAACACCGTCTTAACGGTTTGTTAACGGTGTGTTAAAATGGCGAGTCAATCGTAAGTTTCTTAATAAACTAATAAAGTCAACAAAAGTTCAGGTTTCTTTTGGCCAGACTCGAGTACAGGTTTCTTTTGGCCAGACTCGAGTACAGGTTTCTTTTGACCATTCATGCAAAGTTGGTGTTTTTTTGGCCGAATTCTCAATACGAAGGATGAGCATATTGACATAAAAAAATAAAGTGAAGGGAAACACTCTGGGTCGTAGAGAGAGTCTCACCGGATGGTTCTAACGGCTATAAAGCAGGAGCGGTCCTCGTGCCACGTGGTCAAGTAGAGTAGTAAATGAGAAGATGGAAACATAAAAGGAAGAAAATCAAACCCCCACTGCTTTTAATGCACGTGGCAGCTTTCTCAGATTCCCGACAACGTTCTAGGGGTAAATTAGGAATTTCAATTGTATCGTCCTTCCACCGCACTCTGCGAATAGTAAAAGGAGTGCGAAAGAGAAAGAGAGAGAGAGAGAGGAACGAGATTTGCGGGACCAAATCAATGCCCCCATTGGTCCCTCCCATGGCGATTTTTTAGAGAGCAGACGACGACGAAGCAGCAGCAGCAGCAGAAGAAGAAGGAAGGTACTGTGCAGTGATTCTCTCTCTACTCGTATGTATCTATATTTTTTCTCCGTTTACTTCGCGCTACTGTTAGAGATCCATCGCGTTCTCGATTACACTCTCTGTTTCATCGTCGGGGTTCTTAGATTTTCAATATATCTCCTAATTTTATAGTTCGATTTTGGTATTCATAGGCTATGTTTCGGGTTGATGAAATTCTCCGTTTCTAATTTCTGAGGTGGATGTTTCAGATCGGAGCTTCTAGCATCACTTTGGGGGAAGAAGACAACCACTCATTAGGTAAAACAAGCCACTCTCTCTCTATCTTGACACAAAATCTTCATGTGATTCAAAGAGAAGATTTAGGGTTTAGTTTTTTTGATGGAGACATGCTTTTTAAGATAGTTTTAATGTTTTTTTTCTTTAATTCAAGTCAAATCTTATAATATATTACATTATCATCAGTTTTTAATGCTAGCTAACTATTACCTTTGTTTTCCTTTAGTTTCATTTATTGTTAAAAAGAAAACTCAAGTGCACTGGTAGGTGGTGATAGACTTGTGAATACAACAGTTAAGATTATAGTTTCTCTTTTTTTTTTTTCTTCTGTCTGCTTTTGCGTGTGTAAGATTGCAATCAAAGTACTTCAAGAATCTGGTTACGTTTCAACAAAGTAGGGTGGTTTGTGGGGCCATTTATTTATTATTTAAAGAAACTTTGGATTGATGATGATGATGTTTGATGACTTCGTTTTCAAGCATTGTGGGTGACCACTACTCAATAAAGTCGGTTCTCTTTGTTTCTGCTTCAGTTAAAGGTTGATCACCTTCTAAGTAAACTCTGTTATCATATTTTTAATAACCACCTTATCCCTGTTATTAAGTGATCTCTCTTTCGGTACCTTTTTTCTTTCTTTCTGTTTAAGTAGTGTTTTGAATAAATTTGAAACTCTGTTCATCTAATTGCAGTGGACTCCACATTTTCTGACATTATGAGTTTACTTTGTTGAGCTGTCCATATTCTCTCTTCTTTTGGGAAACACTAAAGGAATTTTCTAGGCATGCAACTTGTTTAGTCTCTTGTTTTTAGTTTGGTAAGATGAGATGTCTGACCTTTATCATTACTTTATGGTTGTGTTAGTTGGAAAATAAGGACTCTTTTCTTCTTTCCTCATTCCTATTCTTCTCTTCAAAGCTTTCACCATTCGTGAAAGTATGAATGAAATGCGCAAATACATAAATCTTATCGTTTGAACTATTTCAAGAAAACGAGCTCGAGTTTTCTCTTCTTAAAACTGTCATCAACGTGATCTGACAGGTGACCAATGGGAGCGATTGCTGGAGAAGAGCTGAAGAAAATGGACAAGCCACAGGTGCCTGTAGCCCGCGATGAGAAGATAATGGTTCTGGTCAGACTGAGACCTCTGAACGAGAAAGAGATCTTGGCTAATGAAGCTGCAGATTGGGAATGCATCAATGACACCACCGTATTGTATAGAAACACATTGCGTGAAGGCTCAACCTTTCCTTCTGCATACACATTCGGTAAGGATTGCGGTGTTGTTTATAGTTTATATGTCGTATATATACTAATATCAACTTCAGTTGCTTTCTTTAATTTGGTTCTTTGAAACACCCTACAGTATCTATACTGCGTCTGATAACAATCTTAACTTTCATCCAAAATCATCTTGTGCGGTATACATAGTTCATATTTTGCACTGTCCTAACCTCTTCGATAGACTTATTTCTCCATGTCCTTGCATCCTTGAATTTTAAGCTTAAACATCATATCTGTCGATGCCCATTTTTCTTTTGACATGTTGATGACAGATAGAGTGTACCGAGGTGAATGCCAAACCAGACAAGTTTACGAGGATGGTCCCAAGGAAGTTGCTCTCTCGGTTGTCAAAGGAATCAACTGTAAGCTTCTTTGATTGTTGTGATGATATAGACATTGATGGCATTAAAGGCTAAGTGTTTCAATAATTATTTTTCCCAGCTAGTATTTTCGCATATGGTCAGACGAGCAGTGGAAAGACATACACCATGACTGGTATAACTGAGTTTGCCGTGGCTGACATATTTGACTATATATTTAAGGTACTGCCAAAAATTCAAGTCTGATATTTTTCTCCATACAAAGATATATATTCACCGTTTTCACTAATTGCACTGGACGCTGCAGCATGAAGATAGGGCGTTTGTTGTGAAATTTTCAGCTATAGAGATCTATAATGAGGCTATCCGAGATCTTCTCAGCCCGGATAGTACACCACTGAGGCTTCGAGATGATCCTGAGGTGAAATATTATTCCATCTTACTGAGAAGTCTTTTAGTTAATAACCTTGTGTGACTCTTCACTCTTGTCGTCTATTCTTCAGAAAGGGGCCGTCGTTGAGAAAACAACAGAGGAAATCCTGAGAGACTGGAACCATTTGAAGGATCTGATCTCTCTTTGTGAAGGTATTGACCTCAGAAAAGTCCACCCATTTTCCACTACTACGAGCCATTTGGTAGTTGTGTAGTTTGCTTATGCTTTGATACTCAAGCTTTCATGTCTGAAAAGGATCTCTTGTCACCTTTCCTCGTTGTACTTATTGCAGCGCAACGGAAGATTGGCGAAACCTCATTGAATCAGAAAAGTTCTAGATCTCACCAAATTATTAAACTAGTAAAACTCTAATCTATCACTGGATCTAAGGGACTACCTCTTTTTGCTTATTGTCTTATCTTAGTTGTTAAACCTTTTTGTAGACGGTTGAAAGCTCTGCTCGTGAGTTCCTTGGCAAAGAAAACTCAGCCACTCTCATAGCGAGTGTGGTATGTACTCATCTGCTTTATCTGTGTTTTGGTCATAATGTTCTAAGCTTTGCCCAGTCATTGTCTTTGTGCTCATTGTTTTTATGTACAGAATTTTATTGATTTGGCCGGGAGCGAGCGTGCATCGCAGGCCTTATCAGCTGGTGCAAGACTTAAGGAGGGTTGTCATATCAATCGAAGTTTGCTGACTCTAGGAACTGTGATACGCAAACTCAGGTGTGGAAGTGATTCTTTGGTTGTTTTTAGTATTTACCAGAGTTCAATATCGATGAAACAAAAGACGGGTCGTACAAGCTTCTCTATTTGTCTTTCTGAGAGATAATGTACATTAACATAAAGACTATCAATATGATGCAGCATGGGAAGACAAGGACACATCAACTATAGAGACTCCAAGCTCACACGTATTCTTCAGCCGTGTTTGGGGGGAAATGCCAGAACCGCCATTGTCTGCACGCTGAGCCCAGCAAGGAGCCATGTAGAGCAGACTAGAAACACACTTTTGTTTGCCTGCTGTGCCAAGGAAGTCATCACAAAGGCACAGATCAATGTTGTTATGTCAGACAAAGCTTTGGTGAAGCAACTACAGCGTGAGCTAGCCAGGCTCGAAAGCGAGCTGAAAAACCCAGCCCCTGCCTCCTCAAGTTGCGACTGTGGGGTTGTGCTGAGAAAGAAAGATCTTCAGATACAAAAGGTCTGTGCTTTGATGAAAACCCAAAAATAGTCCCACAGATCCTATGGCATGCTTTTGGTTGATTTCTAGGTAGTTAGGTTTACTCTGATAAAGGTTTTGATGTTGTGCAGATGGAGAAGCAACTCGTAGAAATGACTAAACAGCGGGATCTTGCTCAATCTCGGCTTGAAGACTACATGAGGATGGTTGAACACGATGAATCTTCGAAGGTATCGCAGTTTATTAATCCACATATAATCCAATAACCTGTAGATTTGATGGCATTTCTGGCTCAACCGATTTTGCTTATTTTCTTCCCTTTTTCGAAGGCTGGAACTCCACATTTCCGTAACCGTACCAACAAGTGGGGCGATGGTTCAGTGTCAGAGACATCAGGCGTGGTTGATCCAGACAGGACTAGTTTCATATCAGATGGCACGTCAACGCCTCTGTCGACTGCAAGAGCTCCTGATAGGTCTCACCCTGACGAGGATCTAGAGGAAGTACTGTCTCCTTGTCGTTCAGGAGACCAATCTGAAGAATATTGCAAAGAAGTACAATGCATTGAGGTGGAAGAATCAGCGAGTGACATTGTTAACAACGATGAAGAAAGGGCAGACGCAGTAACACATTTGGGCCACAATGCAACGGCAAACGGTGGAACAGGTGTTGCTCAAAATAGGAATCCGTCAAGTGTTAGAAGCGTTAGGGTGAGGAAGAGTTGGAGCCGTGGAGATACTGCGCCGGGGACAAGCACTCCTCCCAATGCCCTGGAGATAGACTACCCTGGAAGACCGGAGGTTCATGGTATTGCGTTTCCTGAATTAGAGTCTGGTCCCGGTAAGAAATTGTTGAGGAATGATTCAATGTCTTCTCGCGGAAGCGATTCTACTGAGGCTCTCAGCGTTGGAACACCGATGGTGGGAGAAGATGGAGGTATCACCAGCATCCGGTCATTTGTTGAAGGGCTCAAGGAGATGGTATGAATGATTGAACATCTTACGCCCAAACTTTGAGTTCATGTTTTTGCTCCTTAAAATTAGATGATGCAACTTCTTACGTCCAGGCTTTTTGTTGATTCAGGTTTCGGATCCTGATAATTCAGGAAAAATGGGGAATGAGATTGGTCTTGAGGCTATGGAGAAAGAGGTGGGGTCTGGGACAATGACGAACTGGGCAGAGGAATTCAACAAACAAAGGGAAGAGATTCTGGAACTTTGGCAGACATGTCATGTGTCGTTAGTGCACAGAACATACTTCTTCTTGCTCTTCAAGGGAGATCAAGCAGATTCGATATACATGGGAGTAGAGCTAAGAAGACTTGCCTTCATGAAAGAAAGCTTCTCTCAGGGAAACCAAGCCTTTGAAAGAGGACAGACTCTCACAGTATCTTCAAGGTTAGTAGTATACTTGTAGCATTTGCGTTTGCATCCGCAGAAAAAACAGACAGCTATTGTTTTATTTTACCGCTGTTTCTTCTTGGTTTCGGTTTGTAGTTTGAAGGCACTTCAGAGGGAAAGACGGATGCTAAGCAAGTTGGTTGGGAAGAGGTTTTCTGTAGAAGAAAGGAAGAGGCTTTATGACAAGTTTGGGATCGATGTGAACTCGAAACGCAGGCGGCTGCAGCTGGCGAACCAGCTATGGAGTAAACCCAAGGACATAACCCACGCGGTGGATAGCGCAGCCGTTGTAGCGAAACTGGTTAGGTTCGTGGAGCAAGGAAGAGCTATGAAGGAGATGTTTGGTCTGAGCTTCACGCCTCCACTTGCGACAGCTCGGAGATCTCTGACCTGGAGAAGAAGCATGAACACGCTTTTCTAATAGTGTGAAAAACGCGATCGTATTAATGGTTATTGAGGTTTGTATGTGTAAATCTTCTAGGTGGGATTTTGTTTTCGGTGTTTGATGAAAAAAAGATTTCGTTAGATGTTTGGACAGCTTAAGAGGAGTGTCTCTGTTTGTTTTGCCTTAATGGGGGCTTTTGATTTGGAAACTGACAGGGATTATCTGATTTTGATGTTCTCATCTTGATAGTGGTGATATTTTCACGTGAGTCTCAGGATTGGATTTTGTTATGTTTATTTTAAGCGTTTCAAGCAATTGCCTTAGAATCGAGCAAGAAATTAGTTAAACGAACCCGACGACAACCATGTTATCTTGGAATGTTTATTTTAAGCGTTTCAAGCAATTGCCTTAGAATCGAGCAAGAAATTAGTTAAACGAACCAGACGACAACCATGTTATCTTGGATATGAACCTATGGCAAGACAAACTAGTTTTGTTTTGCGTTAGGTAAAGGACACAAATCGTTGTAATAGAAAGAAACAATATTCTGAAAATGAAAACACACCCAAACGCAGATTCATGTACAGAAGATGGAACCCCAAAAATACTGAAAGGATAAAAAGAAGAATTAATAAAATCAAACTTAAGAAAACAAGAGATGTTGAGCATCATCATCAGTAAATAAATCACTGTAGATTTCCAGACTACAGTCATCTATGATCATAACTAGGCCTGGGCATAAAAACCGGAACCGAACCAGAACCGAGAACCAAACGGATACCCGAATATATAATAATATTAATTTTATATACATATAACATAACTAAATAAATGATTTTAATTTAAAAATCTATTAAAATATCCAAAATAGTTGAAGATAGCTAAATAATTATAAAGTATCCGAACTACAGATAATTTTATCCAAAATATCCAAATTTGTATCTAAACCATTCTAATTATTTGATATTTTATCATAAATAACCGATAATTTACCCGAACCCGAACCGGAACTAAATGAGAACCAAATTTTCCAAGTATTTTCTGGTTCCTAGTTTTACTATCCGAACGGAACCGAACCCAAAACTATCCGAACCGAACCGAAAATAGGTCAAGTAGTAAAAGGATCCTCTAGCTCCCTACCAAAACTACACGAAACCCGAAATACGAACCAATACCCGAAACACACATGCCTAATCATAACCAACAATTTAACTCAATATGCTGCTATCTTGGAACTAGATCTTCAAACAACAAAAACAGCAAAGCTAGATCCGGAAACTTTCTAACCAACAAAAAATGATTCAAAGTAGAATAAACAAGGCGGGTTTTAAATGCTCCAAATATTTGGTACTAAACCGAAGCCAAATCTTGCTATGCTACATACATCCAACCTCATCGGATTTATTCAAACGAACATGAATTCAACATTCATCTATACCAAGGTGGCTCGGTTCTATAATATTCCTACAGGCAGGCTACATTACAACAACCTAACTAGACAAAAATCTACGAGGGTAATGGTCAGTATAAGAACCAAAGTCATTCCATCGACAATCTTCTCCACAACTCTAAAGGAAACATTTTAGACTTAAATAGCCATAATAGTATTCAAACAAAATCACAGAAGAGTTTATTTCACCACTAAGGCAGACATTTTTGTTTTCTTTTGGCAAAGGAGAAAACCCTAGCAATAGAGAATTGATTTTTAGATGAGCTTGAAAGGGAGAGGCCATGGAGTGGACCTAGGAACCTCGAGCTTATCTTTGATCCTCTCAATCATCTTCTGCTTCTTCCCTCTCGAGTTCCCGTACGATCCTTTGAACCTTTTACCTTTCTTCGTCTTACTATCCCCTCTCCCGCACACTTCCATCGACGCCGCCGGGGATAATAACGAAGAATAACTCGCCGAACAAGTCAGTGCACGCTGCTGCGTCATCATAATCCTTCGCGTCATCGCGCCGCACCACAGCACCGCCGCCATCTCTTCTCTCTGAGTTCCTCTCCACACACACAACCATTTCAAAGACAACCGAAAAGACTGGGTTCACTTATGGGCCAGAAATTGGGATAAATGGGCCCTCTATGATGTAAAAACAGGCCCTTTATGAAAAATTGGGATTAACTTATCTTCTTGTGATTCTTTATGGGCCTTTTTCAGCAAAAAGGACTTCTGAGGTATTGTGATTGCAGAAGAACGGGAGTGGAGGAGACAGACACTGCGTACAACGGGTGTTCTCCTGAGGTAATTTTCTTATTCGTCAAGTACTTAGGGTCTGACTGGTTGAAACGCGGCGGTTGCGATTGCGGTTGCGGGAGTTTGCGGATGTGGGTGGTTGCGGTTTCTAGCGTTATTAGGCAATTTGTACGACTGGTACATCGATTAAAAACTGGTGCGTTTGTGGGACATTTATGACTGGTTGATTATGAGATACTACAGCGGTTCAATAATAAATTTCCAATATTAACATATTATAACATTATAAAAATATCAAAACATACTGTTATGATAAAAAATAACAACTATTAATATATTATATGTAATAACAATATTATTTTTATTATTTTTTATTTAGATGAAAATATAATTTCTATAATTAATAAAATATTATAATATAATATAATATAATATAATTAATTATATAATTATGTATTTATATATTTATATTTATATATTTATATATGTATATATTTATATATTTATATATTTATATATTTATATATTTATATATTTATATATTTATATATTTATATATTTATATATTTATATATTTATATATTTATATATTTATATATTTATATATTTATATATTTATATATTTATATATTTATATATTTATATATTTAATATTGAAAAATATAGTGAAAATTCTTGATTTAAAGT